TGAACCATCTCTCCAGCCCTTGTCTTAGAAGAGACTTTGAACTTGGACTTTTGAACAATGTTGGCACTGTTAAGACTCTGGAGACTTTACAGATTAACTAGACACACTTAGAGCCATACATGTACAGTGGCAGGTTGACAGGCATTGGGCTACTCTTCATTGTCAGCTTCTCTGGATGTAGAATCGCCTAGGAAACACAAACCCGAGAAAGTCTGGATGGTCATTTCTAGAGAGGTCAACCCTCCCTGAATCGGGAGGCACCATCCCATGGAGAAGGAACCTAAGTACCGGGGTTCATTTTCCTCCACTTCCTAATTTGTAAACAAGCCGCCTTGCCTGCCCCACCATGAACTGTCTCTCTGGAAACTGAGATTAACTCGTTCCTCTTTCAAGTTGTTTTCTGTTGAGCATTTGGTTACAGAAAGGAGAAGAGTGACCAATACAGCATCCACGGCTGAGTCCAGGCACCGGAGTCCTGGGCCTCAGCTCACTCCTCCCGCTCCCTGTGTATCTGGTGAGACAGTCCACCTCTCTGGGCCTTGGTTCCCTTTATTTACGAATTGTGGTACAGGCATATGTGCCATATTCCCAGCACTTTGGAGACTCAGGTAAGATTTCAAATCAGGTAAGCGTTCAAATCACACCTGTGTTCCATAACCCTGCCTCAGAATACAACAAAGGTGAAACACAGCTTACTCCGAGGTGAGGAAGGGAGGAGACCACTATGTACTGTGCAAGGACACCTCTTGGTGACAATGTTAAGATCACACTGCTTAAGGTAACTAAATAGCATAGTCCATATCCTAGACCTGGGCTGTACGTAAGGCTAGGAACAGTAATGGACAGAATGTATTTTGAGATCTTAGATGAAGAAACCTAACCCAGCCCAGTGCAGGATGCAGAAGGGTATGAAGGAGATGCTCAGAGCAGAGTCCCCAGGGTGAACAGAGTAAGGAGGAGAAGGATAGACAAGTACTCCAGGGTCTGAGTCACTCAAGGCCAGAGAGCAGCATGTGTGGTTAAGGAAAGTAGCTCAGAAATTCTGATCAACACCGGGCAGTGGTGACACACACCTTTAATCCCAGCACTTGGGAGGCAGAGACAGGCAGATTTGAGTTCGAGGCCAGCCTGGTCTACAGAGTGAGTTCCAGGACAGCCAGGGCTACATAGAGAAACACTGTCTTGGGGAAGAAAGAGGAGGAAGAGGAGGAGAGGGGTGAGGAGGGGGAGGAAGAGGATGAGGAGGAAGAGGAAGAGGAGGAAGAAGAGGAGAAAGGAGAGAGAGGAGGAAGAAGAAAAGAAGAAAGGAGGAGGAGGGAAAGGAGGAGGAAGAGGAAGAGGAAAAGGAGGAAAAAGAAGAAAAGAAGAAGAAGAAATAATAATAACAATAATAATAATTTGGGTCAGGGAGAGGAACTTGGAGAGGTGGCTTCACATGCCTCAGAAGGGGGCCTTGAACTTGTAGATGACAGAGAACTTGAGAAAGGTTTAAAGAGGCAGGACGTAAGCCATCTGAATGAGTTACTCAGACTCTTCTTTTCACAATGGCATGCTGGTTTGCCCTTGGATGTCTCTCATGGTCAGAAGATCTGTTCCAGCCAGAAAAACCTTGGACTACTGGGAGGGGGGGTGTGAGGGTGGTAATTATTTTTATGCATAGAGATGTTTTACATATGTACCATGTGTATGCCTGGTGCCTTCGGAGGCAGAGAGGACATCAGCTCCCCCAGAAACTGGAGTTGGAGATAGCTGAGGGTCATTGCGTGGGTGGTAGGAATCGAACCTGGGTCCTCTGGAAGACCAGCCTCTGAGCCATCTCTTCAACACTGGCCCCCACACACACACACATACACACCATAGCTTAAATGTTCTCTCTCAAACCCACATTGATATTTTAGTGCTACTGTCACAGGATGAAGAGGTGGCTGGCAACTGTCAAAATGTGAGAAAGCCATAAATTTAATAAGGCCATTGTGTGGGGGAGGGGTTAGCTGGTTAGTCAAATGACTGGATCTCTCTCCCCTCCTGAGCATGTGATGCTATTATGACACGGGATAAAGATCCCCAGCAGAGGTGTCATGCCCTGGACTCCCCAATCTCTAGAATTACTACAAGTCCACCTCTGTTCTTCATGGATTACCCAGCCTCAAATTTACTGCTACAGGAACAGAAAACAGACTAAGAAAAATGTCCTTCTGCGGTAGCCAGAGAACCAAAGAACTGTATCTCCTGTCCTTGCCACGTCACTCCTTGACAAACACTAGCTCTCTTTTTTAGGACAGAGCTGGGAGTTACTCATTTTACATCTGCAGACACAAAACACACAATGTTTGACGGATGGACAAATGCCCTTCGGTGACACTGAACTCCAACTGCCCGCCCTCCCGCCCTGCAGGACTCCTCAGCATCAGCACCATGGCCCAGACGGCCTTTCCATGATGCTGGACCAGGCTTCTGAAGGGCATATGAGTTTGGCCTACTTTTTCGTGGTTTTGCTTGCTTTTTCGATGATCCACTAGACTTTTGAATGAATTGGGATTCTGAAGCCCACCTTCCAGCCCACCCACCACCAGGATGTGCTGGGGAGGGGGCTGACTGGATGGAGTGCTGATTGGCTGGTAAAAATGCCACTTATGGTAACAGAGAGGGTTCTGTTACTCCATGGCTTCTGGGCCTGAGAATTTATCCAGCCACAATCAAAAGTATTCATGAAAGAAACCGAGCTGAGCTCATACACATTTATTTTCCCATTTCCCAAACAGCAGTCACCCTCTCACCCGGGCGCCTGGGACCTGCCGTGTATTAGGATAATCTAGAGATGGCTTCGTGTACACAGGAAGATGTGTGGGGAACCTAAGCAGACTCAAAAATGGCCTACCATTTTTCACAAGGGCTGAGGCACCTGTAGGTCAGTCTCTGAGAAGGTCCTGGAACCCAGGACCATGAACACAGGGCAGGACTGCCTGTAGACAACTTCTCTCACTGGGTTCCCAGGCCTCAAGTGCTCCCAGCAAAGGCTACAGGCTTTATAGTTAGGCTGAGTTCAAGTATTGGAAAAGAACCAGGGGTACCAATACCAACTTTGGAGGCTGAAGCCTTAGCATATACAGTGCCTGCACAGGTATTCCAGGCCAGCAGCAGTTATTCAACATAACTCCCGCCTAGCCTTGTCAGCTGGGGATTAAAGGGCTGAGAATGACAGACACTCAGGACACCCAGCCCCACTGACAGCTCCCTTTTGTTTCCCTAAGCACCTTTCAACTCAATCCTGGTCCCACATACTGGTTGCTGGGGCCCCCATGAGGCCTCAGAACCCTCCCAGAGGTGAGACTTGTAAAGCAGAAGGAACGAACAGCCACGGATGACAGGTGCTATAGCAAAAGTCAGTGGCAGGGTCAGATATGCGAGGCTCAAGCAGGGACCTTGTGCCCCAACCCCAGTGCAAGGGACACACCCACTTCCAATGGCTGGGAGACTCTTCTGCTCCTGTCTCTGATGGTGGGAGGCACCTGTAGGGGTCCACTGGGTGGGACAAACAAGCCCTTTGTCCTAATCCCTTTGAAGAGATTTGTTCTTGATTCTGGCATAGGTGGGCTCCAAAATCACCACCTGAGCCCCACTGGGCCCTTGCAGCTGCCTTACAGGAAGGCCAGGGAAAGGGGAAGGGCTTTCAAGTACTCTCCTTACCCTGTCCAGCCAAGATCTTCACACCTCACTGGGCAGGACTCTACTAGACAGCAAATGCTCACTCTGTCCCTCCAGCATGGTCACCTTCCTCTACAGACTTTGTGCTGCCGCTGCACTGCTTGGAGTTTACTGGGAGATTTGCAGTCTGCTCTGGAGATTGTTTACCTGGAGTTGGGCGGTGGCTGTAACTTCCAGTGAGTTTTCAACCCTCAGGAACCTCACCTCTTCTGGCTCAGGCACTCACTGGCACAGCCTGTGGGCTGTGCTGAGTGACTCCCTTTGCAAATGCAGGGTTGTTCTTCTTTTCCAGGTTTTTAGTTTTGTGTGCATAAATATTTTACCTGCATTTATGTCTGCACAGTGTGTGCATGTCTAGTACCTTCAGAAGAGGGTGTGGGATCCCCAAGAACTAGAGCCAGATAGCTGTGACCACCCGGGCAGAGGGCTGGTCCCCGGCATTGAGCCATCACTCCAGCCCCGGTGTTGAGATAAGGTCTCACTATGTAGACCGGGCTAGCCTAAAACTCAAAAGACTGGCTTGCCACCAAGACCAGCTTACGATAGCAGCTGAAACAATACTGGGCACACAGCACTGAATACTAATATCCCCTTGCTGTCTTTCAGTGTCCCATGCCACCTCAGCTTCTCCACTGTTCCAAACAAGACACACTGTTTGTCAGACAACTACATCAGCAAGGCCAGGTGGCACCCTAGGCCAGCTGTGTAGGAAAGCCCTACAGTCCCACTGTGGGCCTGGTGAGCATGGGGGCCTCAACAACCATGAACGTCCCAGGACCCCATCTGGGAGAGCTCAAGAGGAAAACAGAGGTCTCCAAGATTCACCCCATCCTGTGGTGGTGGGGCTTCAACTCCATCCTAGGGAAGCCTCAGCACTTAACTTCAGTGAACTAAGACCCAGGCACACACATGTGACGCACACACATCTGTGCTGCTCACACACAGCCCTCCTCCCTCACACAGGAGGCTGGGGAAATGGTCAAGGAAGAGAAGAGCCGTCTGTATGACCCAACAGTCTCTAACTTCTCTTGAACTCACAAGTCAGGGGTGGGCGAGGGAGATGGGGCTGCTGGACAGTGAGGTTGTCTTGACAGGCCCACTGTGTGCTGAGGATAGTGAGGTTGTCTTGACAGGCCCA